AATAATAATAATAATAATAATAATAATAATAATAATAATAATAATAATAATAATAATAAAATAATAATAAATTAAACCTATATGCCATCCGACTCTCAATGATTCTGCAGGTACAATATGGCTGCCAAGCTTCTTTTTTTTGGCCCCCTGAGGGGTATCTGCAAGCGGGGGGGTGGGTCCAAAAAGTCAAGATCGCGGCTACAGTCATGCAATCAAAGCCACCATCTTTAAATTTTTGGGGCTCCCTCCCCATGGATATCCCCACCACCCCTGGTCATCCCAGATCAGACTATCCAGATTGGAAGGTGCCGTTTTCCAGGGTTTGGGTGTTTTTCCTTTTCTTCAAAGTAAGGCTCTGGTCAACTTAACACTCCACACCCCCCTCCAAAATAAAGAAAAGGGATCAAATAATCAGGTCATGTTACCCCCATGGGTGGTGAGCAGAAAAAAACCCAGCTTTGGATCGAAGATTGCCCATCTCTGATGAGCGGGACTGAGCGGAGGGCGCATTTGTGGAAACGGGGCTGGGGCTGGGGTTGTGCAAGGGGCAGGGGAAGAGGGGGCGCACTTTGCACGTGGCCCCCTTGACCGTGGAGCAGGGGGGAAGGGATGGCAGCCCCTCCTCGTCTCCCGTGCGGTGGCTGGAGGTTTCCTCAGAGGGACACAGACCTCCTTCCTTCCTCTCCCCGCAGGCGGAAACTTCGGCTAATGCTGCTGGGCACTTTCCAGTACGCCTTCCTGAAGGTCTCCTGCACGTTTCTAGGACTCGTTTTAAGCACCGAAGGCTTGTTCGACACGGCAGACGTAAGTGGCCGCTGGGCCCTCGGGCGTGTGACGGCGCCTGCGGGAAACGTCCTCCCTGCATCTTTTGGGAAGAATAGAAAAACAGAAGGCAGTAGGAGCCCTTTCCTTCCCATGGATGACTTGGAAAAGTTTAAAAGGGGAGGGGGCTGCCTTGTCCCCTCTCAGACTCCGATGCTTTGCCCATCTTTCGAGGGGCGCTTCAGATTGGATTCTAATTGAGTGAGGACCTTTGCAGCTTTGCAGGGCACAAAGGGAGCCCCCAGGGAGGGAGGGCTGAGTCCAGGAGAAGATGCATGTCAGGCCTAGCCCAAGGAACTCCAAGAGACCATGCAAAATCAGTCTAGCTATGTTTATTAGCTACAACCTCTAGCAAGAATCTTCCCAGACTAAAACCCCCAGTTCCAAAAGTCCCCCAGCCACAACAGTGTGAATTCCTCAGGGAGGTGCCAGCCTCATCCTCTTGTTCCTCCCATGCT